CACAGGGCTCCAGCCCAGCAGCAGCCAGCAGGAGCAGCTGCCACTGCTGCTGTCACCCCAGCTGGGCACGGCACAGGCAGGGATGGGAGGGGACATCAGGAGATGGGTCCAGCAGTCAGAAGTGAGGGGCAAGTCCTGCTTGGGAATTTCAGGGACTCAACCCCAGATTCTGCAGGAAGAAAGGAAACAAGCACATCATGTGGTGTAACTTTCCCTGTCCCTCTCTTCCCCTGCCCTGCAATGCCCAGGGTGTGGTGCAGCAGACTCAGGCTCAGGGCACGTGAGGTGCAGTCCTTGGTGCAGACAGGTTGGACCTGGGCTATCTCAGTGCTGGCAGCCCTGGCTCCAGCTCTGTGCAGGTGCAGCAAGACCTGGATCATGTCCTGAGTGCTGCCCAAGGACAGGGAATGTTTCACTCTGGTGGCTTTGTTGAGTGGGGAGACCCTGGCTGTCCTTGGGCTGCTGCAAGCCTACTGAGGGATGCTCAAAAACTCTCAAGGACTTCTCCTTCCTTTTTTTGACATCTTTCACAAAGCATAATTGCAGAAGAGTATTTGCAGGTGTTGGCAATAAATTAATTTGTAACAGATCTTTCTGAGGGAAAAGAAGGAAGCCCTTTCCCCAACCAGGATTCCAGAGCTTACCCTCTGCAGCAGACGGTTTGTCCTGTGCATCTTCCAATTTGCCTTGCAGGGAGGACACATCTCCCAAAATAACAGTATCCTCTTCGGCGTTTGCATTCAAGTTCACTTCCTATTTCTATGGGGAAATTCACACTTGGAACAATTAAAACAATAATTCGGGAGAGCAGTGTTGTTATGGACAGGCTGATGCTCCCCATTCATTTCAGGCCAAGAGACGGGCTCAGTTCCAAACCTCACACAGCCCCGTCTCCAAATGCAGTGCTTCTCACCTGGATGGTCCCTGTGCCCCTAAACTGGGGGCACACCAGAGCAGAGAGTGGAAAAACCAGCGTGTGTTTGAGGAAGAGCTGTGCTGGCTCCCAGCTGCATTCCCACTTCTGCCTGGACCAGCACAGCTGGCAGGCAGGGACTCCTCACATCCCACACCCCTGTCCTGGCTCTGCCATGATTTGTGTGACCTCTGATGGAAAGTCCTTGTCCATGCCATGCAGGGATCATCCCCTGGGGCAATGACGTTTTGGGACACTCAGTGGATGAACCACTGCATAACAAATGTCACCTCTGTGCCCCAGGAAATGCCTCCACCCAAACACCCATGGGGCTCTCTGCCATCCCTGTGCAGGGCAAGAGAACATCCAGAGAGTCCCAAATAGGTGCAGGCTTAGAGCCTGAAACTAAACCCCTTCTCAACGCACAGAAGACCAGAACAGGATTCTCCCTCTGCCACAAATTGTTGCCTAGCTGGAAACTCACTTGAGAAATCTTTGACCTCAATCTCCTGTTACCTTCTCATCATTCCCACAAACACGGTCATTTCCTGGGACTTTGAATTCCCACTGCTGGGTGCTCACACTTTCTCCCATTTCCCCTCTTCCCTCTCACCTGCAGCACCCTGGACCAACAGGAGGATCAGGGGGAAGAGCAGGAACAGGATCTTCATGGCTGCTGCCTCTCCTGGGTCTTCACAGAGCTGCAGAAGGGACACCAAGGAACTGGGGACATGCAGGAGCCCAGGCAGGGCAGGAGCCAGTGTTGCAGGGCTCTGTGGCTCAGTGAGGGCAGAGGGGCTGCATCCAACCACATCTGATCATCTTCCCTTTACCTTTCTCTAAAAACAACTCTTATGTCTGTGCCGGCATTCAAACCTTGGCAGTATTCCACTGTCTCAGTCTCTGGGAAATCAATAACCTGCACTGATTCAATTGCCTTCCTCACAGGTCTTCTGAAACCTTTTCCCAGAGCACAGACTGCAGATCTGGGACCCACTGCTGTTGGTGAAACCAAAAGAAATGGCCAGTGAAATTTGGGAAATGCAGAGATAAATGGCCATTGAAAGGTATGGAACTACAGGGCTTTTCCTTCTTTGGGCTTCATGTATCAAACACACACCCCAAACACCCTGACCAGTCCTCTCTGCTTCCCAGGGATCACAAAAGTCCTCCCAGCTCAGCTTGGCAGTGCCCATTCCCAACCCCAGAGTATTCCCAGGATTCCCAGCAAGGACATTCCCCAGCACTGACCCAGGGAGCAGCCAGAGGGCAGGGACGTGTCTTGGTGTCCAGAAATGGGAAATGAAAACAACCTTTGCATTTATTGAAAACCTGAAATGATGGGAAATCTCCGCACTGGCTTGGGAAAAGTGCCTCTTTTTTTTGCTAAGGAAAGTGCCCATTCTCCCAACAATGATCTCATCTCTCTCGTGCAGCAGAGGCACCAATCAAGTCCCTCCTGCAGTTAGGAAAACAAAATTTCACTTTTCACATGTTCTGGACTCTTAGACTACTATTAAGACCTTTATTCTCGTTCCCAGACATCTCTGATAGCCAAACATTCCACCTGGACACATCCAGCAGTTTGTGCTTTAGGAGACTCTCCTGTCCTGAGCTTTCAGCTGAGACCTTCAATGGGCAGGATTGCAGAAAAAGGCTTCCACACTCACCTGCCTGGAGAAGGTCAGGGTGTTGAGGCAGCAGCAAACCCACCTGGAATGGCTGTGTCCAGATGCCCTTGGGGCCAGGGAATGCTGCTTTGCCCCAAACAGGCTGGATTTATAGCAGTGCTGGTGGGTGGGACAGGCCCCTGTTGCTGCTGGCACAAGTGGCCTGGGCCAACCCAGGAGTGCCCCGTGTGTGTGGGGGAGCTGGGGCTGGCCCTGCTCCCTCCCTGCTGCAGGGGCAGGGGCTGAGGTGCCTCGTGGGGCTGTTGCAATCAATGTCACCATTGTCACAATCAATGTCACCGTTGTCCCCATGCAACACCTCTTGTGACACCCACAGCACAGCAGCAACGGGCTGGGATGGATAGGGAAGGGATGGACAAGGGAGCTGGGTTTATGTTGGGAAGATTAGAAATGAGGAAATGGTTTACTTCTTTGCATTCTCTCATTTTATTGACATTATAAATATGCAGAGTGGGATGTGGAACATCTAACTGAATATTGTAAAAGTGTTCAGCTTTGTACGCTGAGGGGAAAGTTTCACCTCTCATTTCACCTCAACAGGTTTGTCTGCACAGTTTGTAAAGAAGAGGGGAAAAATAAAATTTCAGGGTTAGCACAGGGGAAGGAAAGGCCATAGCAGGAAGAGTTGATATTAACATCCCTCAACAAACTCTGCAGTTCTAGAAAGCTATGGCAACAGAAAATTTTTTAGTGTCTGTCTCTTCTCACAGGTAAAAATTGACAGGAACAAAGGAAATGGACATAAGCAGTTCCAGGGAAAAATTAATTTGGTATTAAGAACAGTTTCTTTGCAGAATCCATAATAAGCTTTGGGACAGGCTGCCCAGGGCAGCGGTGGAATTACCACCCCTGGAGGTATTTAAAAACCATGTGCATGTGGCACTGGGTGACTTGGTTTAGTGGTGGCCTTGGCAGTGCTGGACGAATGGTTGCACTCAATGACCTTAAAGGGCCTCTCCAACACCAATAATTCTATGACTCTATGATTCTTGGGAGGGAAAGCTGTCCCTGAAGCAGTCAGTTACTCTTGTACACACAAGTACATGGATGCACACATATAGCAAACTATTCAAATGCTAGAACCTGAGGTTTGCTTTGCTTGGTTTGAGAGAGAAGCCCCTCTCTTTCATGGAACAGAGCATTGTCACTCCCCTGGGCAAACAAATTGGGTCATTTCCACAGCAATATGGCACCTTTTCACATGTCAGCCTAAGATTTGAACAGCTTCCTCCTCCTCCTGTGTGGTGGGATGGGCTGTGGAGCAGCACAGCCACAGCAGGGAGGGCTGTGGGGCTGGAACAGGACAAGGAGAAGGAGCAGGGACAGCTCCTGTGGGTCACCATGGCCATGCCCACTAAGGGACACTGCCCCCAGCATGGCCATGTACATGAGGCCGTGGCTGTCAGGGACAAGGGACATCTGGGACTGGCAGGAGCAGCAGAGGGATCACAATTCCCCAGAGGGAGCATCTGCAGGACAGCTCCAGCACAGGCACCCCAGCCAGCCTGGCCCAGCAGGCACTGCCAGGCTCAGCGTCCCCAAACCAGGGCCAGGCAGGAGCATCCCCAGGGACACAGCCACTGCTCAGCCCCAGCACCATCCCCAGGCCCTTGTGCTGCCACCAGGCCAGTGCCAACCCTGTAGTAGTTTAGATTTGCCAATTTGCGTTTTCCGCCCAATGAACCAAATAATGTGGTGGGTTTTAGCATTAGCTAAAATCACCAGAGTAGTTATTAATTTCTCACTGTGAGATATGGATTAGGAGAAGGGAAAGCAGGCTTAAAAGGAATAAATAAACTTTATTAACAAAACTACAAGAATAAGAAACTACAGTAAAACCTCCAGGAACATTTCTCCCCTCACCCAACTTTTTCCTTTCCCATCTGACACCATAGAGACAAAGCCTGGGATGCTAAAGCAATACCAACTATACAATGGTCTTTTCATCAGTCTTTGTAGGGAGAGGAGTTTTCTCTTGTCATTCCATGGAGAGTTCACCACAAGAAACAGTTCTCTGGTGGCTTTTCATTTCTACGACTGGCAGCTGCCCAGGTACACACTCTGCCATCACGCTTTCCTCCCATTTTCACACCACTTAGAGGTGTGTTCATGAGCCACAAACTCAAGGGGTATTTTTTTTAGGATGAGTTATTCAAAGGCAAAAGTTCTCTCCATCTGTCTCTGTGATCATCTCTGGGAACAGAGGTTTTCTTCTTCTCTCCCTGGGGGCAAAGGGTCTTCATCAGCTCTCATTTTTCTGTTCAAGCGTCTCATGGGATCACAGCTACTCCAACATCTGCTTAGCTTCATCAATGGATACCTTTGCTAAGATCTATAGCTTGAGTATGTCATCCCCCCAATACTCTTTCATGAATTAAAGGTGTTTTTCAGAACATTATTGTCCATCTCCATGGCCCTACCAAAAGAATATTTCAGCCAATTAGAGCATCTCCTCATTCTCCTTCCATCTGTGGCTTGACTCCTTTTACTGAGCTTGGTGTTTCATGTTGTCTCTCTACATGTCGATCTCTCTGACTTTTCTCTCTCTGGTGAGGGGATTAAAGTCTGCAGGTCTCATCAGGTGTAGTGAAAAAGGTTAAACCTTGCCCAAGCCACGCAGGCGGTCACGGTGTTGGATTTCAAGCCGTGTTGGTGCCTCTCTCAGCCCGGACAGTTCTTGGCCTGGAGCCGTCTGTACGGGCTGGGGCTGTTTAGGACAAATGATTTGCGGTGGCTGTGCTGTGGGAGGGCAGCCAGCATCTCAGCAGCCAGGTGGAGATGGCCAGGGGCTGATGGTTTCCCCACCCCTGCCTGGCAGCTTCTGGTAAAACTCAGCTGCAGCAGAATTTCAGCTGAGCTGGGGAGCAGCCTGGCCTGGCAGCACCACTGGAAAGGGCTCAGCAGGCTCCCCAGGAGGACTCAGCAACCCTGGGAAAAGGCTTATGCCACCCCACAGTCTCCATCCCTCATGCCACACAGGCCATGGAGGAGTGGGGCCAGTCCACCGGAGTTCTGCTACCTCTCAAGGCTGGAAAGAAAGAGAGAGAAGTTCCCTGGCTTGAGTTTTTAAAAGGTGGTATTCACAAAGGTGAACTTATTCTTCAGTGTATTCTCTACAAAATGCTGTCAGTTCTCAGAACTGGCCAGCTGCTGGCTTGATCTCAAGCAGAGAAGAAATTCCCAGCAGCCTCTCTCAGAGAAATCACTTCCATGGGTGTTTCCCACTTCTTTCTCTAAATGCCAAACTACCACACACTACCAGAGGCAGCAGGCACAGCAGCCCTCCAGCAGCAGGACACGCACACACGGCCCAGGCCTGCAATGCCAAAGTGCTCGTCTTTATTCAAGCTGGGAAAAGCAGCCCCTGCCCCAAAGACAGCGGGGCTGGCACCACAGGGCTCCAGCCCAGCAGCAGCCAGCAGGAGCAGCTGCCACTGCTGCTGTCACCCCAGCTGGGCACGGCACAGGCAGGGATGGCAGGGGACATCAGGAGATGGGTCCAGCAGCCAGAAGCAAATGGGATGTTCTTATCAGGAATTTCAGGGTTTTCACCCTAAAATCTGTGGGAAGAAAAGAAACAAGCACATCATGTGGTGTAACTTTCCCTGTCCCTCTCTCCCCCTGCCCTGCAATGCCCAGGGTGTGGTGCAGCAGACTCAGGCTCAGGGCAGGTGAGGTGCAGTCCTTGGTGCAGACAGGTTGGACCTGGGCTATCTCAGTGCTGGCAGCCCTGGCTCCAGCTCTGTGCAGGTGCAGCAGGACCTGGATCATGTCCTGAGTGCTGCCCAAGGACAGGGAAGGTTTTTCTCTTTAGTCACTTGGGTGAGTGGGAAGGCCTTGGCTGTCCTTTGTCTCCTTCAGCACCACTCAGGGTAGCTCCAAACCCCTGATTGGAGGATTTCTCCCTTCCTTTTTTGGCATCTCTCTTAAAGCATAAATGCAGGAGATTATTTATCAAGAGTTGTCAAGAAAGGAATTTGTAACAGATCCTTCTGAGGAAAAAGGAAGAAACTCCTCAGTCAGGAAATCTAGATCTTACCTTCTGCAGCACACAGCTAGTGCTGTACATTTTCCAATAGTTCTTAGAGGGGGGCGACATCTTACAAAAGAACAGATTCCTCTTCTCTCTCTGCATTGAATTGCACTGCCTGTTTCTACAGGGAAAGACACACAGAATAATCACAGCAATCATCTGGCAAAGCAGGGTGTGCTTGTGTTCCTGCTGGCAGGCAGGGGATTCTTCACAACCCACATCCTTGTCTTGGCTGTGCCATGATTTGTGTGACCTCTGATGGAAAGTCCTTTTCCAGCCCTTGCAAGGATCGTCCCTTGATGATGGTTTTGGGACACTCACTGGATGAACCACTGGATGAGAAAGGGACACCTTCGTGTCCCATGAAGCAGCATCATCCAAACACCCCTGGGGCTCTCTGCCATCCCTGTGCAGGGCAAGAGACTCCTAAATAAGGAATAGCTGGGTGTAGGCTTGGAGTCTGAAACTAAACCCCTTCCTGACCTACAGAACAGGCCAGGCTGTTTTCCCATGGGGTCTCTCCACCCCAAATCAGTGTTGAGTTGGAAATTCACTTCAAAAAACAGCTTTGACCTCAATACCCCATTACCTTCTTATCACCCCCACAAGCAGGGTCATTTCAAAATTTCCTGGGATTTTGAATTCCCACTGCTGGGTGCTCACACTTTCTCCTATTTCCCCTCTTCCCTCTCACCTGCAGCACCCTGGGCCAACAGGAGGATCAGGGGGAAGAGCAGGAACAGGATCTTCATGGCTGCTTCCTCACCTGGGACTTCACAGGGCTGCAGAGGGGACACCAAGGTAATGGGGACATGCAGGACCTCAGATGGTGCAGAAACCTGGGCTCCGTGTTCCTGAAATTGCAGAGGGGCTGCTTCCAAACACAGGAGATAATGCTTCCTCTACCTTTCTCTTGAAAACAATTCTTAAATCTGTGCCACCCTTCAATACCTGTGGTATTTCATTATGTCCTGGTGTATAGGAAACCAATGACCTAAGAGGACTCATTCCCATGACCTTCCTCACAGCTCTTCCAAAGACCTTTCCCCAGAGCACAGACCACAGACCTGAGGCCAACAGTTGCAAATTCAAACCAAATAAATGTCCAGTGAAATTTGGAAGAGGCAGATAAAATTGCTTTTGAAATTGGTATTACTGAAAGCCTGAAATGATGGGAAATCTCTGTACTGCTGTGGGAACAGAATCTCCATCCTATCCCAGGGAAAGTCCCCATTCCCCTAGCAAAGAAGATCTCGTCTCTCTCCTGGAGCATCAAGGCACCATTCTAGTCTCTCCTGTACTTAGGAAACTTCAGGTCAAATTTCCACGTGTTCTTAGACTCACATGAAGGCTTTTATTCTCTTTCCCAGAGCCGTGGTTTAACCGAGCCGGGTTGTCAGTTGGGTTGGAACAGTCCAAGGCCTGTGGGGGCAGTTTTGTGGGGACACGGCGGAGCCAATCAGGTGGCTAGTTTTGAAGAGCCAATCAGATGGCTAGTTTTGAAGAGCCAATCAGGTGGCTAGTTTTGAAGAACCAATCAAGTAGCTAGTTTTGAAGAGCCAATCAGGTGGCTAGTTTTGAAGAGCCAATCGTAGCTAGTTTTGAAGAGCCAATCAGCTGGCTAATTTTGAAGATTGACACCTGGTTCACCCACTTAAAAGATTTGAGCGTGCCTCTGTGGAAAAGCACTTTAAAAATTAATAAAGGCCAGGAAAACCCTCTCTGGCTTCCGGCCTTTGAACAGGTCACTGGTCCTGTGTGGCCAGATGGGCACGGCCTGCGGCTGGGCGTGGCTTGGCTGAAATTTCTGCCCTCTGAGGGGTGGTGGGCAGGCTGAGGAGCCCCTCACCAGGGAGCCCTCCAGGCCTCATCCTGGCGGAGCCAGGCCCCTTTCCTAGCGGAGTCCCCCGGTTCTTTTTTCCGGTGGCACCACTGGGCCATGCTGGCCAGGGCCATACCGGCAACCAGGCAGCGGGGACCAGTGCTGGGAGTGGCCCCATAGTCAGCCCTGAGGGCCTCCCTGAGGCCAGGAGCAGCCAGAGCCAGGAGGGGCCAAGTGCCTGGGACTGCATGGCTGAAATCAGCATGACCAGGACAATGGCACGCGGCTGTGGCTGCCTCAGCATGGCTTGCAATGAACTCTCTGTTTAGCTGCTTTTAGCCAGCCCTGCTGCAGACAGAAGGACAAAAACGGCAGCAGCAGCTTTTCTTGTTTTCGGCGCTGCACATGAAGGAAAGCGCTGAGTGGAGCTGAGTGTCGGCAGAGACCCCGTGAGCAGCAGCGAGAGGTACTGCAAATGATCTCCCTGATGTATAGCCTGGGTGAGATCAACCTTTCAGCGCTGCAGAGCTCCATAAAAGCTGTTTCAGTTGATAAAGCTTGAGAACAAATGCCTACGAGCACCCGTTCTCTCCTGAATCAGGAAAAGGAAAGGGTAAAGACACGCAGGGAAAACAATATGGGACACTGAGGTCAGTGAGGAAGGACTTGAATTCTACCTGGGAGGAGATTGAGGAGATGCCTTAGTCTTGGGCTGAAATCCTCTGGTATGGCTATGGTGAAGATAAATTTGAAACATCAGACTTTGTTTTTTTCCTGTAATTCATGGAATGCATTGGGGGGATGTAGCATTCTAACTACAGCCGCGAGCAGAAGCACCAATGTTGAAATAAGCAGATGTTGCAGTAGCTGTGATCCAATGAGAAGCTTGAACAGGGAGAGGTGAGAAAGATGAGACTTTTGCCCTGGGAATAAAAGAAGAAAACCTCTCTTTTCCCAGAGGTGGATGAAGAGAACCTTTGATTTTATGCTAGAACAGCTCATCCTTAAAATAGTACCCCAATAAGTTGACATGGCCTGTGAAAGCAGCTGTGGGAAAGCTGCAAGGCATTGGGAGAGACTTTCATACTGTGAAGAGATTTTCCTTTCCCGGGTGGCTGAAGCCACAAGACAACTGTTTCTTGTGGAGAGGTCTCCATGGCATGGCAAGAGAGACTCCTCTTCCTAAGAGAACTGAAGAAAGACTATTTTAGACGCGGTAGACTGACTGAAAGTCCCAGGTTTTGTCTCTTTACATTGTCAGTGGGAAAGAAAAGAGGGTGTGGGGAGAGGAGAAGTGTTATGAAGGTTTATTCGGACTTATTATTATTTCTTTTAATTCTGTTAATAAAATTTTCTTTATACCCTTTAAAGTTATAGCCTGCTTTGCCTTCCTCCTAAACTTTATCTCACAGCAGAAAATGAGTAAATAATTTTAGTGGGTGCAAGGGCATTTGGCCAGCATTAGACCCAGCACACTCAGCCGTCTCTGATAGCCAAACATTCCACCTGGATACTTCCAACACTTTGTCTTTTCAGACTCTGTGGTGCTGGGTTTTGCAGGATTCTGGAAAGAGACCCCACACTCACCTGCCTGGAGAAGGTCAGGGTGTTGAGGCAGCAGCAAACCCACCAGGAATGGCTGTGTCCAGATGCCCTTGGGGCCAGGGAATGCTGCTTTGAGGCCCCAGTTGCTGCTGGCACAAGTGGCCTGGGCCAACCCGGGAGTGCCCCGTGTGTGTGGGGGTGCTGGGGCTGGCCCTGCTCCCTCCCTGCTGCAGGGACAGGGGCTGAGGTGCCTCGTGGGGCTGTTGTCATGTCACCATTGTCACAATCAATGTCACCATTGTCCCCATGCAATACCTCCTGTGACACCCACGGCACAGCAGCAATGGGCTGGGCAGGAGAGGAAAGGAATGGGGGAACAGATCTGTGCTGCAGAGGTGAAGGAAGCTTCTGGTGAAAGCTGCAGTGTCAGTGCCAGGACAGGTGAGAACCCACTGAGCAAAGGCCATGACAGGCAGGGATGATCTGAACATCTCTCACCAAAATTCCCACTTGTGGGAAGCAATGGCAGTGGAAGCCTTTTGGGTCTCTAAGATCACGGTTGAGACCAGCAGAGGAAATGGCCTCAAGTAGCACTGGGAAGGTTTAGACTGGATATTAGGAGCAATTTCTTGGAAGGAAAGGTGGTCAGACATTGGATCAGGCTACCCAGGACAGTAAAGGAATAACCATTCCTGGTAGGATTTAAGAGCCATGTAGCTGTGACACTTGGGGACTTGGTTTAGTGGTGGGCTTGTCAGTGCTGGGGGAACAGCGGGACCCAATGATCTCAGAGGGCTTTCCAGACATCAGTAATTCTCTGAGTCCATGACTCACGGGAGGGAAAGTGTTCACTGCAACAGGCAGGGTCACCAGTTGATCCCACAGGCATGTGGACATAGAGACACACACAGGTAATGAACCATTCAAATCCTAGTGCCTGAGGTTTGTTTTGCAGACATGGACAAGTCACTGCTTTTGATGGAGCAGTGTTGTCACCCCAGACTGCCTGAGATGGGCAGAGAAAAGACAATAAATTTATTACCTGTGGGAAAAATTTTGGACATTTCCTAGCCATGCTCAGTTTGGAGCCACTTCACAGGTCGTCTGAACCAGGAGCTGCATGACCTCCTCCTCCTCTTGTGTGGTGGGATGGGCTGTGGAGCAGCACAGCCACAGCAGGGAGGCCTGTGGGGCTGGAACAGGACAAGGAGAAGGAGCAGGGACAGCTCCTGTGGGTCACCATGGCCATGCCCACTAAGGGACACTGCCCCCAGCATGGCCATGTACATGAGGCCGTGGCTGTCAGGGACAAGGGACAACTGGGACTGGCAGGAGCAGCAGAGGGATCCCAATTCCCCAGTGGGAGCATCTGCAGGACAGCTCCAGCACAGGCACCCCAGCCAGCCTGGCCCAGCAGGCACTGCCAGGCTCAGCGTCCCCAAACCAGGGCCAGGCAGGAGCATCCCCAGGGACACAGCCACTGCTCAGCCCCAGCACCATCCCCAGGCCCTTCTGCTGCCACCAGGCCAGTGCCACCCCCAGAGGCTGCAGGCACAGCAGCCCTCCAGCAGCAGGACACGCACACACGGCCCAGGCCTGCAATGCCAAAGTGCTCGTCTTTATTCAAGCTGGGAAAAGCAGCCCCTGCCCCAAAGACAGCGGGGCTGGCACCACAGGGCTCCAGCCCAGCAGCACCCAGCAGGAGCAGCTGCCACTGCTGCTGTCACCCCAGCTGGGCACGGCACAGGCAGGGACGGGAGGGGACATCAGGAGATGGGTCCAGCAGTCAGAAGCGAGGGGCAAGTCCTGCTTGGGAATTTCAGAGTTTCAACCCCAGATTCTGCAGGAAGAAAAGAAACAAGCACATCATGTGGTGTAACTTTCCCTGTCCCTCTCTCCCCCAGCCCTGCAATGCCCAGGGTGTGGTGCAGCAGACTCAGGCTCAGGGCAGGTGAGGTGCAGTCCTTGGTGCAGACAGGTTGGACCTGGGCTATCTCAGTGCTGGCAGCCCTGGCTCCAGCTCTGTGCAGGTGCAGCAAGACCTGGATCATGTCCTGAGTGCTGCCCAAGGACAGGGAATGTTTCTTTCATGGCTTGGGGAAGTCCTCTGCAGAGCCTGAGTGAGGCCATGGGGGCTGGAGGAAATTGGGGAGGCCCTGGCTGACCTGGAGCTGCTGCAGCCCCACTCAGGGCAGCTCCAATACCCACAAGGACTATTTCCTCCCTCCTTGGGCATCTCTCCCACAAAGAATAGTTAAGGAGATTATGTAGCAGACATTCACAGGAAATAAATTTGCTGCATATCTCATTGTGGACAAAAGAGGGAACTCTGTCCTCAGGCAGGATTCCAGACCTTATCTCTTGCAGCACACACTGTACAGCGTGCATCTTCCAATGGGTCTCGCAGGGAAGTTGCATCTCCCCTAAGTGCAGTATCCCCCTTTTTGCCTGCATCCAGCTGCATTTTGGGTTTCCATGGGGAAAGAAACATACAGAACAATTAAAGCAATCATCTGTGAGAGCAGTGCAAAAGGTTGCAAAAGGCTGATGGTATTTGTCCGTTTCTGGCCAGTGGATGGATTCAGCTCCAACCTCCCCACAGCAAAGATCACAGGGCAAAAGAACTTTCAGAGACATACAAAGAGGAACTGCTGGCTGCAGGGTGGAAGCCTGAAACCAAACCCCTTCCTGACCCACCAAAGAAGTTAGTATTCTATTTCCATGGGATCTTTCCACCCCGTGTCTGTGTCCTAAAGAACTATCACTGGAGAAACACCTTTGACCTCAATCTCCTGTTACCTTCTCATCACCCTTACAAACATGGTCACTTCCAGGGACTTTGAATTCCCACTGCTGGAGTAATTCCCCCATTTCCCCTCTTCCCCTCTCACCTGCAGCACCCTGGGCCAACAGGAGGATCAGGGGGAAGAGCAGGAACAGGATCTTCATGGCTGCTGCCTCTCCTGGGTCTTCACAGGGCTGCAGAGGGGACACCAAGGCAATGGGGACATGCAGGAGCCCAGGCAGGGCAGGAGCCAGGGCTCTTCACCAAACTGCAGATGGACTGTTTCCAAACACAGCTGATGATGTTTCCTCTACTTCCCTCGTAGAAAGAATTCTGTGGTTTGTACCACCCTGTCAACCTCAGGAGCATTTCATGATGCTTCAGTCTCTGGAAAATCCATTACCTCATCCAGTCCTTTTCCAGAAGACCCCACAGTCACCTACCTGATGAAGGTCTGGGTGTTCAGACAGCTCCAAACCCAACAAGAATCGCTGTGTCCAGCAACCCTTGGGTTCAAGGAGCACTTTTTGGCCAAAACACTTTGATTTTATATTGTTGCAAGCTGTGGGGACATTCACTGATTTCTGCTGACACATCTCCCCTTGGCCAATCAGAAGTCCATCCCATCCATGTGGGGATGCTGGGGCTTCTCCTTATCCATCTCTGATGCAAGGACAGAGGCTGAGGTGCCTCGTGGGGCTGTTGCAATCGATGTCACCATTGTCACCATGCAACACTTCTTGTGACACCCGCAGCACAGTGGCACCCAGGCTGTGGTGGCATGGCATGAACTGCCTGGGGTGCACAAAACAGGCTGGTGGGTGCAGGCAGAGGTAGGAACCAGTCACAACCAATCTCTCCTGTGAAGGTGGTGAAGGCCTGGCACAGGCTGACCAGAGGTTGCTGCCTCATCCCTGGAAGTGTCCAAGGCCAGGTTGGATGGGCTTGGAGCAGCCTGGGATAGTGGAAGATGTCCCTGATCATGGTGGGGGTGGAACTGGATGACCTTAAAAGTCCCTTCTTCCCCAAACCATTCTGAGATTCTATGGTAAAATATTTTCTATGATAAAATATCTGTCTCTGTCAGTTTGCTTAGGGAGCTGGAGCTGGATCCTGAAGAGGAGAATGGACTTGAGATTGGATACATCAGGGACACAGAGTCTGGTGTCCTCTCTCAGAGAGATGCAAGGGATCATGGAATGGTTTGGGTTGGAAGGAACTTCAGAATACATCTCATTCCACCCCCTGCCATGGGCAGGGACACCTTCCACTATCCCAGGATGCTCCAAGCCCTGTCCAGCCTGGCCTTGATGCATGGTGGGGACATCCCTTGAGCATCAATCTGTAGAGGTAGAATTGGGTGTCCATTGATGGGTCCTTGGAATATCCTCGTTTCTGGAGGTTTGGAACCAGACTCAGGACAAGTCCAGGGCCAGCACAGCCAGGGATTGCTGGTTATGGTGTGGAAAAGAGTTCTGTAATCCCCACTGCAGGGAGGCCATGGCTGGGGCCAGCCCTGCCCTGGGAAGCTGCTCTGACCTGGGCATCTTGTGCTCGACCCCATCTGAGCTGCAGCTTGGCCTTGCTGATCCAGACCCGGTCTTGGACCCACATCTGGCACCCTAATCTGACCTTCCTTGTACCCACAGCAATGCCCAATACCCCAGGAGAGGCTGCTCCCACCCCTGGCTGCCCTGCTCCATGGAGGGGAGCAGTGAGTGTCCCCTGTCCCAGCACCCCTGTGGTCACTGCCCCACAGCAGTGCAGGGGCCACCCCTGTGGCACCCCTGAGCTGAGCATCCTGGATCTGCCACCCAAATCATCCACAATGACCCAGCGGGGCTCCTAACTGAGCCCCATCCCCAGGCCTTGACACCCTCCCAGCACTGACCCCCAGCTCAACCCTAAACTCCTGAGAACCCCCATGGCTCAGCCATCAGTCCCTATTCCCTCTGGAGCAGAATGACTTTTCCCACCCCCCAGATACCCCTGGGCCCTACAACACCCCAGGCCCCACAGCTGGGGATGGACCCAAGGCAGTGTGTGTCCCATGGAACAGCCCCACAAGGACTCCTGACCCAGCCTGGGAGCCAGGGACAACCAGCAGAAATGAGGGTGGTCATAGCAATCCCTCCATCCCTGTGTGAGAAGTGCTGGGGTCCCCTTGCTGAGACAGAAGGCTGGCATTGGGGTCCCTGTGAGCATCACACGTGTCCCCCCTCCCACCATGGGTGGAGATGCTGGCGTGGCTGAGGCCAGCATGGAGTTTGTGTGTCTGTTTCTGCCACCCCATCCTCTCTGCCCTTCCCTACACGCAGAGAAAGAGATGCACACCCAGGACACACATCTCAGTGTGTGATGGCAATGACCACCACCTTGTATTGGGGACACGGGGGGATGGGATTCCCTTGGGATCCAGGTCTGGCTGTGCAGGGCTGCTGCTGCTGCCCCTGGCAGTGCTTGGTGCCTCCAGGCAGCATCATCCCGACCAGGGGGCCGGTGTGCTTCTCGGGGATCCGGGAGCCCCTCAGGGATACCACCGCCTGTGGGAGGAAAGCTCTGGCAGTGCAGGAATGTCCCTGCACCCTTGGGCTGCGCGTTCCCCGTTTTATCCCCCAAGCTGAGCCCTCCGGGCAGCCCAGAACTCACATCCGACAGCAGAATTCGTGCTCGGAGCAGAGCCCGATGCGGCCGATGCCCGGCGGGCAGGAGCGGTGGGAGCAGAATCCCCCGCGGCGCTCGCAGTCCTGGGCTGATGCTCGGACCGGGGACAGCCCTGCAGGACACGGAAACAGGAGACTTCCAGCCGGGATGCTGAGCACAGCCCCTGTCCCTGCCAGCCCTGCTTGTCCCCTGCCACAGCTGCTGAGCAGGAGGAGCCTGCAGCAGGAATCCGGGGGAGTTTATGGCACTTTATGGGTGGGAGACAGTCACTACACCCCTAAGCAGGCTCTGGGAGAGGTCTCCATCGTGCCTGCTGCCTCCTCCCTGGAACAAGGGACAAGTCCAAGGGTGGAAGCAGGATCTCCCTTCCTCCCCGCTCCTCCTCCTCCTCCTCCTCTCCAGCAGGGCTGCTGTGCCCAGTGCTGCTGACTCAGAAATACACGGGTCAGGAGTCATGGAGAGGGGTCAAATCCCTGTTTTGGAAGGATGAGAGCTTTAATACAATGCCCCAGATCTGGTCCCAACATCAGAATCTGCATCTGGAGTCTTTCTTTAAAGGTGTGGGGTGAGAGGGACCCTGGCGGGGATGGCACAGACACCAGGAGAACTCAGAGGTGTCTCATCAGCTCAGGTGACAAATCCTCCCTAAAAAACACAGACAAAGGACAAATCCTCCTCATTTCTTACCTGTCACTCCCCGGAGCATCAGGAGGAGCAGAGCACAGAGGACAGGCAGGATCCGCATGCCTGGCAGTCTCCAGCAGAGTCGCGGCTCTGGGGAGAAGAGAAAGGAGGCAGGGATGAGTGGGAGGGTCCCTTCCTGCAGGTCGTGTAGCACCTGCGAGGGGACAGAGCTGAGGAGAGGGGATGTGACCGGTCACTGCTGGGAGGATGCACTCGGCAGCCTGGGAGTCAGAGCTTCCTGGCACCAGCAGCAGTGCTTTGGTCTCTCCTCGTGGCACAGTGTCCCTTGGGATGGCGAGTCTTCAAAATGTCCAGCCCCAAAGCTCCTTTTTTCCTGTTTCTTCCCCCGACAGAGAAAAACAAGCAGAGCTTTCCTCATCTGACACCTGAGGAGGATTCCCAGGCCTCCAGCCCAGGGTCTTGTGTCATCCTGCCTTGCGTAAGGGCTGCTCGGAGCTGTGGTTTGCTGGACACCTCTGGGGACACACAAACAGCATCCCTGTTCGTTGGGCCTTGGCAAACAATCAGCTTTCACCACACAAAGGAGCTCTGTCCTCCTCCCCCCGCGGGAAGCGCGCTCTCTATGCTTCGCTTGAAAATAACTGGGAAGACGCCACTTGGGATGACATCCCCGTCCAACCAGCAATCCCAGGAAGGACAGGGTTTAATTGTGGCTTTGTTTGGTGGAGTTTGCTGTGTGTAACCCTTTGCTGTTTGATGGGGCATCTTCATAAAGGTTTCCAGCCTTGCTGCGGTCTCATCAAGCGTTACGGGCGCGTGTGTGGGGATGGATGTGAAAAACACACTCGTGCCTGGTGTGTGCTCACTGAGAGGTCACAGGAATCACAGAGTCACACAATGATTTGGTTTGGAAGGGACCAGGAGGTTCCAGCCATCTGCCATGGGCAGGGACACCTTCCAGTAGGTGCTCCAAGCCCCATCCAATCTGTCTTTGAACACTGCCAGGGATGGGGCAGCCACAGCTCCTCTGGGCAATACATGAAAATGCCTTTGATCCAAGCAACTCACCATATTTCACTGTTTTATCACTCCCCAGTGAGGGACATTGTACAAACTATTTGCAGATCTGTACCCAGGGGGGTCACTGCTACTCTGCCATGGTAGTCAGAGCACTCAGGACGGCTTCTTATTTCCTTCACCACTGAAGGAAATCCTTATCCTACAGCTACAGCCAGAAAAAGGGAAAAGGCCATTCCCCAATTTTTTTTAATATCTGCTGAGCTGTCTTGGCATCATAGCCCCAGGAGGCAAGGGACTGGGAGCAGCTATGTGCAGTAGTCAGGTTCCTTACAGGGCTTCATTAAGGTGGCAATTAGCTGCATCTCTGTGCTGTTGCTCTTTAGCACACACATCAGCTTAATCCCTGGAAGTGTCCAAAGCCAGGCTGGATGGGGCTTGGAGCAATCTGGGGTAGTGGAAGGTGTCCCTGCCTGTTTCAGGGGAGTTGGATCTATGTGATTTTAAGGTTCCTTCCAACCCAAACTGTTTTATGAGTCTCTGATTCTATGAACTTGAATGTGTAGAGTGCTGGGGAGATGGGATTGGGGTAAAAAGCAGGGAGGAGATGTGCAGCATAAATCCTAGGGGGTTTCAGCCTGTTTCACTCTAAACTGGCTCTCAAAGCCATTCCCCAGCCTTAAAGGCAAGGACAGCTCTTTGTGGTGGTGAGCTAAAAGCATGATGAGACTGGATTCTGCATGATGTTGGCTACAGACAGATGAAATCTAAAATTACAAGGTCTGAACCTTCCCTGCAAAGTCCTCAGTCCTTGAGCAAGAATCTTGTGCCATTCCAGTTTGTGAAACATTCACCTACTGTGGATTGTGCAAAAACCTCTTAGGACACCAACTGTAAATTGCTGGTTTGGGTCCACTTGGCAACTTCCTCAGGTTTCCATCCAGGGAGATTCCTGGGAGGCAGCTGTTGGCCCAGCTTCCTGCCCTGCACAAGGCTGTGGTCTCAGTGCTGGTAGAGTCTTTTTCAGGAGCATCTGCTTTGAACAGGCCCAGAGAGTGAGGGAGCTGGGCCTGTTCTGTCTGGAGAATACCGAGAGGAGACCTCAACAATCCATATAAATATCTCCAAGGGGTGTCAGAGGATGGTGACTGACTCTCTTCAGTGGTACCCAGCCATAGGATGTAAAGAAACACAATAAATTCCACTTCTACTTGAGGAAGAACTTCTTTATGTTGAGGGTGGCAGAGCACTGGAACAGCTGCCCAGGGAGGGTGTGGAGTTTCCTTTTTGGAGACATGCAAAACCCACCTGGAGGTGTCCCTGTGTCACCTGCTCCAGGTGACCCTGCCCTGGCTGCGGTGTTGGACTGGATGATCTCCAGAGGTGCCTTCCAACCCTAGAAATTCTGTGATTCTGTGGTTCTGTGATTCTGTGGAGGGTGGGAAAATGCTTTGCAACAAATGGGCAGCTCAGGGCTTTGAGTCACTTTGCACTTGGGTTGGTTGCTTCCCTTGAAAAGTCAGGCATTACTGCTCCTCCCTTCACAGGATCACAGAATGGATTGGATTGGATTGGAAAGGGCCTTAAAGATCATCTCATTTCAACTCCCTGCCAGGGGCAGGCACAGCTTCTCTGGGCACCAAGGATTCCTTGTCAGCACAAGGATGTTCCTGACCGTGCAGGAGCAGCTGCAGAGACAGGAGCTCTCTGAGCAACCTGCACCTTCCACCTTTTCTGTTGTGGTCCAGAGCAGGACAGGCTGAATCTCCTTGAAGAGATCAGAGGCACAGTGGGGTTTGCCTCTCACACACGTTTCTATAATTGCCTCAGTGTCACAGGTCTAACTCTGATCTCCTGATTTGCAGCTGCAGCCAATATAATTTTTGCAGATTTGCTCCAAATTTATATCAGACAGAAATGCCAAGGGTAAAATCAGACTTCAGATTACCAATTTGTCCTGCTCAGTGTTACTTTACTTCTCATAATAAAACAAGATGCTGGTCCCAGGTCTGAAAGCTCTGGGTCAGGAGATGGGAACCCATAGCTTTCAGAGCAGAGGTGCTGTGAAAGCATCACACTTTAAAGACTTTTGTGCTCCCAGGGGCAATGGTGACTGATCTCAGTCATGACAGAGGATTCCCTAGCAGGTGTGTGTGGAGAACTTGCCAGCACTCACTCAGTCAACAGCCCAAGAGGGGTAAATATTTAGATGAGCTACACATTCTTGGAAGGTTTGGATTGATTTCAGAATTTTTGTTTAAATTTCTTAATGGAAATAAGACTTGGGAAATGAATAGGATATTAATTACTTTTGGAAATGAATGACAAAACCACACAGGGCAGCCATGCAACCTCCCCAGACCTTGCTTTTATTGAAAGGAGAATGACAAATTGCTACAACAATTCCTTGAATCCCACGACGTCAAAAGCGATGACTCCTGGAGATTCTCCACAATTAGCCACACTACAACCTACACAAAGGAAAGGATATTTCAGGGTTTCCAGAATTATGATTATGAGGAAAATCCTGCTGCTTGGGATTCAAAGGATAATTTGGGAAGTCATCTTTGCCCCAAATAAATCCTAAACTTACCACCTACAGCAATTATACCCAGAACGACACGACCCCAGGTAATCGTTGCCACGAGGGCATTTCCCCCTGTGGCAGAAGGTCCCACGATATCCACACTCCATGTAAGGCCTCCTGGGTCTTGCCAAGCCTCTACCTTTAAAAGGAATAAATAAACCAACAAGTAAACAAAGATGGGAGAAATTTTATTTCCGGCAGGGATTTGCATTTTGCTTAATCTCTGTGAGCAGACAATGTTGTGACAGTTCAGCCCTCAGAGGAGAAGGCCTGTGGTCACAACAAACAAGCACTCTCGTTTCTTATTCTGATGTGTCTCCAAGCTCAGGACTTCCTTAGGAAGTCAGATTTTAGGGATGGGCGTCAGAGATTTGATAGAAAACAGTAGGCAGGCACTCAGCAGCTCTTAAAACCCTGTAGGTCACAATTCAGGAGAGATGCACCAGCTCATCTGGGAGAGTTCCACTTGTATAAAAAAGAGGGGAAGAGGCTTTTAATGTGAGCAGGCAGTGCTAGGACAGAGGGGAATGGTTTTAAACTAAAAGAGGAGATATTTAGATTAGGTATTAGGAAGAAATTCTTCCCTGGGAGGTTGGTGAGGCCCTGGCACAGGGTGTCGGAAGAAATTCTTCCCTGGGAGGTTGGTGAGGCCCTGGCACAGGGTGTCCAAAGAAGCTGGGGCTGCCCCTGGATCCCTGGAAGTGTCCAAGGCCAGGCTGGATGGGGCTTGGATCAACCTGGGATAGTGGAAAGTGTCCCTGTCCAAAGCAGGGGGTGGAACAGGATCCACACCAGGCGTTGCCCTCTGTGTCTGGAGCTGAACAGTCTGGAATTGCTCTTTCCTACATGTCTAAATGGAATTCCCTGCTGAAATAGAATACCCACATTCAAATTGCCTTTTGGGAAAGGCCACCAGCCTGTGCTATTCCCAGAAAAGGTTTTATCCACAAAGGTGCTAATTGTCAGGGATCCAAACAACCCCAGGGAGCAGACTAGCAGTTAGGCAGGAGGTTCCCTGACCCTGATTCGATAAATAAAGACGTAGCCTGGCAGCTGAGGTGTTCTGGATGCACCTGACTGAGTGCACATGAACCAATTAATTCCAGTTTCCAGCTCATCCATGGCACAACACAAACTCCAGAGTGTTCAGAGAGAGGGGAGCTTGTTCCAGCAAACAGATAATGGATGTTCATATGCACAGTGCATCCAGCATATCCCTGGTGAGCTGCATTCCCAGCTGCATTCCCAGCTGCATTCCCAGAGTAGAGTGATATATGCACACCCAGAAAATCCCAGGAAGAAGTAAAGGAGTGTTTTAGAGGGGGAATAAAACACTTCTGGTCTCAAACTAGCGGTCTGTGGGGCACTGCAGAGGTGGTTGTGAGCAGTCTGAGCTCTCAGAAACACTTTTCTTCCCAGATAGAGATAAATCTCTGGCTTTAATATACCCAGAAAATCCTACTGAAAACAGGCCAAACATCTACTGTGTGTTAAATAAGGACATGGAACCCACCAAAGGAACTCTTTGCCCAGTGTCCTGCCTCTGAGAACTGGCACAGGCAGAGACCCAGGTAAGAATAACATCAGACAACCACATAAAATCATAGAATCACAGACTCAGGTTGAAAAATACCTTTAAGATCATCAAGTCCAATTGTTAGCCCAGCACTGCCAAGACCACCACTAATCCATGTCCCCAAGTGCCACATCCAGATGGCTTTTAAATCCCTCCAGGGATATATCTGACACTTGTCCCACATTTCTGGTCTGCTGCAGTTCATCACAGTCTTTTCCCCTCCTCACATCCCCAGAGGACACTTTCCACTCTGTTCCCACAGGGATCAGAACTCCACCAGCCCTTGCTCAGGGGCACAGAACACTCTGCAAATGTAGCTGTGCCATTTTCAGGGCTGATAATAAAATACAATCCCTTTTTCTGGACAACAGAGTTGGTTTGGGGCTCCAGACTCCTTTGCACCCCACAACAGGCACAGCCTACACCAGCACTTAGGGCTGAACAGGTTTCTCCACCGAGGAGATGCTGCCTGTAGCATTTAAACCTTAGCTCATGATTTTGTGCCTCTCCACTCTATGTCCCAGCTCCTAAAGCAAAGGATATTTCAAGAACATGGGACCAGATCCCTTTTTCTTTTTTTTTTTTTCTTTTTTTTTTCTTTTCTGTGTAGTTTAAGAATATTTGATTATGGTTTAATTTGTTTGTTGGGTGACTCAGAGGCAACGTGACTTAAGTACAAGCCTGCTAGGTTCAACGGGGAGAACACTGGTGCTAAATGGTAATTTTGGGGTTGCCCCTTTCAAAGCGATGCTTGGAGTATTTGCCTGCTAATTTAATTTCTCATCTGTAATCTCCAAAGAGTTTTGATGATTTATGTGAGGCTTCTTTGCAAGAGGCAGCTTGGTCACATCCCAAAAGGGACAGGAGACCTTTGCAAGACACCATCATCTTCTCTTTATTCCTTCACCTTACCTGCAGCTCCCTGAAATGCCACCAAGAGGAGAACAAGGAGGAAAGGAAGGATTTTCATGGCAGAGGGTGGCTGGGATCTCGGGTCACTGCAGAGAAAGGAGACCAGGACATTGGTTAGAGCCCTATCCCTCCACAGTCCCAGAAGTGATACAGAGAAATGTTCTTCAGGACCTGGAAGCTACCTAAAAGAGGTTATTACACATTTTTGTCATGATCATGTCTATTGTCCTAAGATTTTCCTGGAGCACACATAGGATCATGCCATAGGAAAAAAGTTCCATGCAAAAAAATTCAATTTCAAATCCCCTTTTAATTAAGGCATCAAGTGATCAGAAATTTATCCTGGATTTCTTGATAACTTGCAATGCATTGCAATAAATTTGATTTGCCTTATGGAAGTTAAAGCTGTTAATTCAGAAAATAAGACAATTTTTGCTAGATTGACCTAAAACAACCCCATGGGTTTTCTCAAGCTTTTCTACTAAAAAAAAAAAGAGGAGAAAAAGCAATTTTCTTCTAAATTAACTCAAAAGCCAGCTTTTCCTTATTCTGTCTTGGAGGCTGTTGTTTATTCTTCCTCTCAAGAATTACATTATTTCCAGGATAAATTTTTGAGTATTTGCATTTCTTGCAGCCAAGAAAAACTCCTCTCCCTTATCAACATTTGACACCTCTAGAGCTGGCTCATGACAGCCTGCAGTCACTGCACAGCTGAGTATAAAACAATAAAACAAAATGCAGATAAACCAGAAAGATATGAAGTCTCCAGCCCGTTTAAGAAGGACAAAACCTTTTGGGAGGGGCTGAATAATGAGAATATTTTGGTTGTTACCAGGCAGGAGGAGCTTTAGGCTGGAACAGTCCCAGGATCAGTGTCAGCCACCCGGATGAAGGAGCAGGGCGTGGGTTTGTGCCGTTCCTGGAGGGTGGTGAGGGATGTTTGATCGCCACAGCCTTTTGGTGTCCAATGAGGCTCTGGAGAGCTCTGGGGGCACCCAATGAATCCTCTTTGCTGCTGTCCTAAGAGGAACCAAGATCTGGCTTTCAAACCATTGCAGCACCACCTCGGGAAATGTGTTGAGATGAGAAAAACCACCCTGGGCCTCCTCCCTTTGAGCAACCCTTTGGCCACAGCAGCTCCCTCAAGGTCTCTGTTTCCATCTGTTCTCAGAGGTTTTTCATTTCCTTACAAACATGAACAATACATCACCATAGAAGTAAAATAATCATCATCTGGAATGATGTTAAAATAAAACCCACGTTAAATGGACAGTTAGTTTTTCTCTGGAAATTCAGCAAGAGGGTTAACGGGCTGTCATTAATTCTACATCATTACTGCTGTTGGAAGGGAAAATCTGGACAATTAGAACATGGAAACATGGAAAAGAACATGGAAAAGATCTGCACTAGGGAATGGCAAGGAAAAAAGTGAGAGAGGGAAACAGGAATCTAAGAGTTAAGAATAAAAAAGGAAAAAGTGGTTTGGTTGTTTTTCAAATTTTTGCATCAAAACATTTTCATTACTAGGTTACCTGCATGGCCTGTAAGATATTTTATGCCATATCCATTTATGGAAATTATTGCAGCCCATGCCCAGCAATTTCAGTCTTATTGTTATTTTTACTCTCTTGCCATGGACAGAAGAGTTCTGAGCACATCACTCCTAAGCATCCTCCTTTCTCACCAAGAATTCCTCCAATAGCTCCCTGCTTTTCATGCATTTACAGACATTTCTATAAATTCAGGTGCCTGTTGCAAAGGGATCTTCTCTTTTATCCCTCTTTCCTACTTGAATCCTGCCGGCCCCATTCCATGGGAGTTGCCTTTCTCCTCCAGCAGCTGCTGGAGCACGGCTGAGCTCATCCCTGCCAGAGCCTCCCTGGGCTCGCCCTTCATGCCCTGCAGGGATTTTTCTTAGATCTCTTTGTTTTCTTTCCCAATCAAAGCAACTATTTCACTGAGGTTTCCAGCACAGCGTTTTCAGCAGCTTTCAGGCTGCCCACAGGCTTCTTGTTTCTCTGGGCTGCTCCTTTGGGTGCTTTTCTTTTCTCGTTTTTGTTTTTTGTTTTTGTTTTTGTTTTTGATTTTGTTTTGCTTTTGTTTTTGTTTTTGTTTTTGTTTTTGTTTTTGTTTTTGTTTTTCTTTTTCTTTTTCTTTTTCTTTTTCTTTTTCTTTTTCTTTTTCTTTTTCTTTTTCTTTTTCTTTTTCGTTTTCTTTTTCGTTTTCTTTTTGTTTGTTTTTGGTCCTACATTGTGGTTACACATAATTGTGCTGTGGTCACTTCTACAGAGCAGCTCCCACAAACAGCTTTGGAATTGGGTCCTTTGTGCCCAATCCGAGAATGTAAATGTTCTTGTGGATGCCAGGACCAGCTGTTCTAAGAATCATCATTGTGCAGCAAGAAAAATATACATTTTACAGAGGAAAAATCTAATGTCTGCATCTCCTGGCATCATCCACAACTACCAGTCAGATCTACTCTGCTGCATCACCTCAGGCAAGGGAAGGACCTGCAGGAGATGTGCCCTGGTCCCTGAGTCCTTTAGGGCAGGGCTGTAGCTGAAAGCCTTCCCTGAGGTGTTGTGAGGTGTTTGCAAACAGATGTGCAGCCAAACATCTGGGCTGAAAAGAGTCTCAGCACGTGAGGAACAGCTGGGTCTGTGTGATGTCACCTGTGGGCAACTCAGCTGGAGCACCGAGCCCAGATCTGGGGGTCCCCAACGCAAGAAAGACCTGGAGCTGCTGGAGAGTGTCCAGAGGAGGCCATGGAGATACTCCAAGGGCTGAGGCCATGGCCAGGGACAGCTTCCACCAGAGCAGATTTCTCCAAGCCCTGTCCATCCTGGCCTTGGACACTTCCAGAGATCCAGGGGCAGCCACAGCTTCTCTGGGCACCCTGTGCCAGGGCCTCACCAGCCTCACATCCAGGAATTCCTTCCCAATAACCCATCTATCCCTGCCCTCTGGCAGTAAGAAGCTGTTCCCTGTGTCCTGTCCCTCCATCCCTTGTCCCAAGTCCTTCTCCAGCTCCCCTGGAGCACCTTTGGGCCCTGGAAGGGGCTCTGAGGTGTCCCCAAAGCCTTCTCTTCTCTAGGATGTAGCTTTCTTAGAGACATGAAGAGTTCTTTAGCAAGAGAGGCTCCTGGGTGCTGAAATTCAGCAGAGAAAAGTGCAGCCAAACCGGTGGCTGGGAGGCAGCCAGAGCAACTGGGAGCTGGCAGAGAATCTGGGGAGGGTGGCTAGCTCTGGGAATATCTTCTGGAAGGCATTTCTGGCTTCCTCCTTCTCTGCCTGGCAAAGTTCCGGGGTGATGATGGCACAGGATTTATTCCTGGCTTGGAGCACAGGAGGAGAGACTGAGGAAAGACAGCTGAGACACCTCAGGGTGGGAATGGTGATGATGGAGGGCAGGGGGGATGAGATGAGGGAGGTTCAAATGTCTTCAGTGGCTGACAAGAAGGGTCACATTGTACCTGCATGGACCCTGGCAGCACCCACACTGCAAAAAATGGTTCTTCCACATCCCACTCTCAGGTCTGGAAGAGGCTTTGGTGCCCATTAGAGGCTGAGTTGTGCTTTGTATGCTAAAAATTGGGTTTTCTAGGAATGGGCCACGTGGTATTTGCTGCTGTGGAGGACAGAGACAGCCAAGGCTGAGCTTCACTTGAGCCCTAATTACACCCCTTTATTAAACTGCTTCACTGGAGCTGGGCCCAACAGCCCAACATCATTAATTAATGCAACACAAATACGGACAGGGCAGTAGGACAGGAGGAAAAGTGGGTTGTCCTTAACACCCAGAGGGCCCCCAAACCCAATCAGGTGGAGCTGAGGCTGCAAAGATGCCAAGTTCCTGGTAAAAAGCAGTGCTGGAGATCCACAGAGAGCCTGGGGACGCTCCCACGAGTAGGGAAAACCAGGCAAGGCCATTTCTGAGCAGATTGGTGGTTCACGTTGCACAGCAGAGCCTGGGCTTTATTGCCAGAGTTGCAAAAAACCCTCAATAAAATTAAATAAAACAACACTAAATGTATGAAAGTCCCGGAACACAGCTACACCCAACAGCCCAGATGATGTACAAGGTTTTGGGAGCTTCCTGCAGCATATTGCAGAAACCACCAAAACCAGAGGTGATATTTTGACTTAATTAACCCCCCCCTTTGTGGCTTTTCCTGTAGAGACCTGCTGGGAATTTATTTTCTAAAAAGCATCAGGGCTGGAGGCTGCAGGGTTGGAAATTGGGATAAAAAGCAAACGCACACCAGAGGGCCCCTGCAACCTCCGATGCTTGGGATGGATTTCACAGCGTCGCTGTGGTAGGGTGGGAAAACAACGCTTGGGATGGATTTCACAGCGTCGCTGTGGTAGGGTGGGAAAACAACGGGATTAATTGATGGCTCTGGGCACACCATGTCCCAGCTGCCACCTAGTGCTCATCCCCGCGACACGGGGGACATCGGGGTGGGTTTGTGCCGGTGCTCAGCAATTTGGGGACATCAGGGTGGGCTTGTGCCGGTGCTCAGCAATTTGGGGACATCAGGGTGGGCTTGTGCCGGTGCTCAGCAATTTGGGGACATCAGGGTGGGCTTGTGCCGGTGCACGGTAAGACAGGGGACAATGGGATGGGCTCGAGCCAGTTCTGAAGAACCCAGGGGACATCAGGATGGGTTTGTGCCGCTGCAGAAGAACCCAGGGGACATCAGGATGGGTTTGTGCCGCTGCAGAAGAACCTGGGGGACATCAGGATGGGTTTGTGCCGCTGCAGAAGAACTCGGGGGACATCAGGATGGGTTTGTGCCACTGCAGAAAAACCCGGGGGACATCGGGGTGGGCTTGTGCCGGTGCTCAGCAATTTGGGGGATGCGGGATGGGCTTGTGGCAGCGCACAGCAGCTCCAGGGGTCTCGGGCTGGTGAAGCCCCGGTCGGTATCTTGTCCCCAAGCCCCCAGGGGTGACGGAAGCACCGTGATGTCACACTGCCAGGGAGGGGACACGGGGGGAGGTGCCCGGTGAGGCCGGGGAAGGGCGGAGCGGTACCGGCCCCGGCGGCTCCTTCTTCCTCCTCCTCCTCCTCCTCCTCCTTCTCCTCCTTCTCCTCCCTTTCCTCCCTCCTCCTCCTCCCTGCCGTGCTCCCAGGATGCGCGGGGCCGTCCCCAGGCTCAGCCTGACGCTGCTGGCGGCGGAGAGCGGCGCCCGTGAGTGAGCGCAGGATGCGCGGGGGCCTGGGGGGGCTGCGCTGGGCGGAGGGGAGGGGAAAGGCGGATGGGATGCTGGCAGTGACGCCTTTGCAGCCACCCCGGGGGTCCCGAATCACCTCCATGTACCGGGGGAGGTGGGGGAGGTGTCATCCCCGTCATCTCTTGGGGAGATGCGCGGTTCTGCTCCCGCCATCCCCGCGGGTCCAGCCGTCCTCTTGGATTCTTTTCATATTTGAAAAATCGATTT